AAACCTCTCTCTGCCTTGCATCTCCCCTTGCCCTTCATGAGTGCCTTGCAACCATGATCTTCTCTCCCCTCCTGTGCAGCCCCCAGGGTGGTTGGCGCCCGGCGTGCCTTGGTGTACAAAGTACACACTGCGTGCCTGTGAGCTTGCTCTGCCCCCTGCTACCACTGCGCCCCAGTTGGTAACACCCAGCGGGGTGTGGGAGCTGCTGATGGATGAAAGCCAGACCTGCCCTGAGTCCTGCCCCCGCAGCTCATCCCCTTCGCACAGCATTTGTGTCCTGAGCGTTCCCAGCACGGCAAGCGTGGCATCCGCAGGGCTGCGATCCAGTCCGTGGAGCCGCACAAAGCAAACCGGCTGTGACACCACGACACAGCGCTCGGGCCTCTCCGGCTTGACACTGCATCGTTATATATTGATGCCATGACACCAGCGCTCAAAATAGAACCAGGACAATTTGATTTCCTGCAGATCTCAGGATGGGGTCATAAAAACGGAGACTGTTCTGGAGAAATGGGATAGGGTGGAAATGTTTGTAGTGACATCACAGCCAGTTCCATGCCAATGGCCTCCTACTGCTGCAAACATGTGATTGTGATTTTGCTGCACGCTCCATCAGAAAAGTGCCAGACTGGTCGGGGAGGGAGGGAGAGGGAGGGAGGAGAAGGGGCGGAAATATTCCATTCTTGTATCTCAATTCAAATATCTGACAATAGTCTTGCAGCCCAGGGTGGTGAGTGATCAGGAGTGGGACCGTGTTGCTGAGGCTGCTGCCAGATCAGCAGAGTTCAGAGTGTTGCAGCAACCTAATTGAAGGCTGAATAAGGACCTTTGATTTTATGGTGGAGGGTCTTGGTCTGCATTGGTGTGCTTTATGGGAGAGTTGGGTGGTCTTGTTGTGCTCACTCTTCCTCCCTAGTCCCATTTGCTTCTAATGTCAGTTTTCTTGGCAAGAAGAATGTACAGGCCTGAAATATGGCTACAAAAGCAACTGCAGAGTTGTTGTCTTTTAGGAGTTCCCATTACAGAAAAGAACAGATCTCAGTGTTGGAGTTTCACCCATGAAGCAGGAAGCAGCAAGCAGCAGGAAGGGATTTAAGTAGCTGGAGAGAGAGACAGAAAGAAGGGAGAAAAGAGAGGGAAGAAACAGAAGTCAACACAGAAAATAAAACTAGCTTGTGCCTGAGGACATTGCAGGAGGAAATCTCATGTCCATTGCTCCAAAAATGGTACTGAGTGCTGCAAAGCCCATCTTGGTAGCAAGGTCCTCCCAAGAAACAGCCAGTGGAGATTAGCCCTGGCTGTGTCCAGCACATGTAACCTTGAGGGGCTGTTGAGAGGAGCAGTATCTGCCAGGGGGACGGGAGAGTAAAGGGATCCAGCTAATGCACCCATCTATCAGATTAGACTGTCAAAAAATAAACCACTTCCATCACTGCCCAAGAAGAGACTCTCACTCCCTGCTTAATGGGATGTCGGTCCTGTTGTTGTCACTCCAGGGAGAGGGGCTGCTGCCACCACAGTGTGCAGCAGGCTGTGAGTTTAAAATCCTATTAGACAGGGACCAACAGTTGCAAAAAGAAAGCAGGTATCCCCTAGTGGGGATTTAAAGATGTTTAGACGTAATTTGATTTTCCAAGCAGATGTCATTATTGTTAAACAGTTGCCCACTTGATATGTTCAAGTTGTTGGCTGTAATTGCTAAAATTAGCAGGTCTGCATAGAGCAAAGGTCAGTCGGTTAATATCGTGATTTAGTATTTTATGAAGTAATTCCAAATGCTTTTATGTATGTTTTTGTTTTTGCAGCCTAAGCCCACATTAAAGTAGTTGTGGGCCATGCTAATAAAATAATGACTCGGCCTCTCAGCACAGGCTGCCAGCCGGGCTCGGCAATGGTGCTCCAGCCACCTTTGGTCCCTGCTCTGCCTGGTGTTGTGGGTCAGCCTGGGCCCTACATTTGGGTTTGGAGCTGCAGTCAAGCAGGAGGCTTCCGACTGGTCCCCCCACAGTGTGACATCTTCAAGAGCTGGTGCTGGAAATGAGCCCATCAAGTCCAGCAGTGACTGGAAGGATGAGGGACCGGTGAACACAAGGTTCTCCTGCAGCTACCTTTGGTCTTCTGAGGTGGATGGACTGCATGTGCAAGTGCAAGCAAGCACCTTCAGCCATGAACACACTTGAAAGACTCACCACTGACCAGGAAAGGTCCCAAAATACAGCTCCTTGGAGGGAAGATGCCTTTTTGGAAGAGGAACAGAGAGCTAGGATTGGGCAAGGCAAAGACTCCCAGTTTGTGCTGTGGCTGGTTAGACACCTGGTGTTGCTTCCTCTGGCGCTGCAGCTGCTAAATGGCATGAGAAAAAGCTTTAAAAAACTCCTTGAAGGTATTGGGGTTTTCCTGGCAGGCTCAGTGTGGGTCTGATCCCATGTCCTGGGACAGAAAACTGTTCTCTTCCAAGGCAAGGTTTGCTGGGGTTCACTTACCTTTCTCTGTAACAGAGATACAACCCATTCCCAGGGGTGGTTTGGGCACAGCTGGCAGATTTCTTGCTATTGCAGGAATGCAGGACTTTGCTAATGCCGTCTGACCTGCTCTTTTACCACTAGACATTTATGACTGGTTTTTTTTTTTTAAATCTCAGACATTAATCTCAGAAAGTGCTGAGAGGCATTGTGTGGCCTGCAGTGCACAAGAAGATACAGTAGAAGACCTGTAGGTCGTCCTGGACTTGACACTTACTGGGTAAGCTGAGTCCCTTTCCAATCCATGTTCCCATATTCCTGCTAGCAGGTTTTGATATGTGCAGCTGCCAGAGCTGCCCCAGGAACTCTCTGTGGCTGCAAGCAGCAACAGACACACTGATCCAGGGGATGGGAAAAGGAAGAACTTGCTTTTAGGTGCTGCCTTAGACACCGACACAGGAGAGGGAACTGGTGACCCTACACGGGACAGGTCTAAGCTATGTGTAGATTTGCATATCTTGATCTCAGATCAAGAAATATTTTGTGCATACATAAAAATATACCGTTAGAGGAAAGACGGAAGAAAAGTTTTAGCACTAGAAAGCTGAAAAGGTTGAGGAGCTGGGAATTCAACTCTGGTCCAGATTTCAAAACATGTTATTTTGATCAAAGACCATTTCAGTTTCCAATCTGAAATATGCAGTTTGGGGTTTTGTTGATTTTTTTAATTTGTTTCGGTCTTTTTTTACCTTGGACTTCCTCTGAAGCAACATAACATAAATTCAAGAAGCCATCTCTCACGAACATGGTGTCCACAGAGTATCGGTAGAAACATTTACTTGTGTTTGCTCTGACCAAAATAATACTTTTGTACCAAACCCCTTAAATCTTTGCAGTTTTCAGAGTCCCAGTGTCTGTAGGACTGTGGCTCCTAAATTGTGGAGGAGCAGTAGACAGGCCCTGTCCCAGCATTGAGGTTTTCCCTGTTCCCATCACTGCAGGTCTCCCTTCATGAACCCAGCATGCAGTTAAGCTTCTACTTCCCTCCAGTGCTGTCTTTTTCTTACTGGGAGAGGGATTTAACAGCCCTTAACATAACAAATACAGTTTTGGTCTGTTTTTCCAAGGTGGACATGGCATCAATTGCTAAAGGAAGATAATTTAAGATATATTTGTCTTTTAAAAAGTAAAAGGCTTTGAATAAAGGGTAGTGGTATTCAGGCTAATTTAACTTATTGCTTAATGTTCAGAGTCCTTTACTACCTCACAGGCTCCTTCAAAGCATGAGAGTCTGTTATTCCCATTTTACAGCAAAGGAAACAGATGCAAAGACCTGCCCAAACACAGGCAGCAATTGCAATCTGGATTAGAGTGAAAATGTCCCTGAAAACTAGTTGCAGTCCCCAGGGAGACATCAGTGGGTAGGGAAAGCTGGGAAACTCAAGGGGATGTAGCGTGGGACCGAAACTAAAAGGCGTGTAAGATTTTAAACGCCCAAGGTGATCTGGCCAAGCAAGAAACAAGGCTCAGCAGTTCATGTCAGCACAGGGGAGGGCGGAAACATGGGGAGCGCGTTCCTTAGCTCAGTGGAGGACGAAAGCAGTGTGCTGGCAGGCTGTGCAAGAAATGCATTGTGAACTGGCTCTTGCAGCTGTGAGCAAGACAATAAGGATGCTAAAGCACCCTCTGAGTCCCCACATCCAGCTTTGCACAAAGAGGGAGCTAAAATCAGCCCCCTGGAATCTGTTGGCTCATGGTTTGGATTTAGCTCTTTGTGTTTGAGCAACTCCAAGCAGAGAGGGAATATAGGTTCTCCCAGTTCAAGAGCCAAAATCACCCTTTCCCTGCTCACTTTCAAACCCTTCTCTCAGGATCTTTGATCATAGTTTGCAGGGCATTCTCAAGGAAGCCCCAGTTTTCTTTTACAGTCTGAGGAATTACATTTTTTTCCTTCCTCTGGTTTTCCTATGCCATTCCCTGTCCTCTGTGCTCTGCATTTTCCACTGAACCTCGCCTACCTTCTTGCCAGTGTAGAAAACCTTTTCTTCAATGAATATGCATCTTCTGATAAAACAAAGATAGGATATTCACTTATATTTCAGGGTTGTGTATGAGGGCTACATAATACTTTATTCTTTCAGCTAGTAGACTTCAACACTGGCATTTCAAAGAGTGGGAAGAGGACCTTTAACTTGCCATAAAGTTCTCTTACCTGTTCATGAACCAGCCTGTCTTCTCTTGCTATATTAATCAACTTGATCTCTTTGGCAAACCAGCAAGGTTGCTTTCACATGAGTCTGCGATACCTATTAGCTGAACAAGCACTATCTATCACCTCATACAGGCTTAGTAGAGTCCTACTCTTTAGTTTAGCATAACCATGTCTTTACCTGTGAAGTGCTTGTTCCCAACCATTGAAAAATCTGCATTGGTTGCGCCATGAACTCAGCATTTATTAATAGTGCTTGCAGTAGATCCCATCTGTTGAGCTACGAGAGCCTGTCCCACAGCTTGCAGTTAATGCTTGTGCTGGCAACATTAAGAATTCAGGGTCTCTGTCCCATTGATTTTCACAGACTTCATCTGGCCATCTTCTTCCACTTCCTTTCTCTCATGCCAATTCTCAAAGATTAGACAGGTGGTGATTGTCTTGCCATTGATCACTTTAGTATAGCTTACTATTGTGGATTCATGTGGCCCAACTGTGGTTTCACTAAAGGTGTAGGTGGGGATCTTCCTGTGACTGAATGAATTCCACGGCATAAAATACTCCCTAGGGGAAGTAAGGAGTGGGCTGGAGCTTCCTCCTCTTCCACTTGTACTGTGCTGATTTTCACCATTGATTCTGATGTCAAAGGGTTCCAGAAAATATATGCAAATGGATCCCTTCCTCCAAAGAACTCTTCTTGATGGGAGAATACATGAGGAGAACCAAAGAAACCATTGTAACCCTCTGTGGACTCTGCTCTCCTCAACAGACTTGTCATAGAGCAATCGCCTCTGAGGGTCAGACAAAACCTCGTGTGCTTCCAAAATTTCTTTGAATTTCTTCTCAGTTTCTCCTCCTTGTTCCTGTGGTTCTTATCAGACAAGTTCAGCCTGAGGAGCTGAACTCTGATGATCAAGTCCAGGGTTAGCCTGCATCTGTTTCTGTTCCCTGGATTTGCCGTTCCTGTGGGAAATACAATACCCTCACAGGGCATTATTGCATGAAGAAGGTCTCCAAAGAAGTGCCAGTAATGAGAACTCATCTGTCTGTAACACAGTGTCATAAACACCTACTAATAGCAGCATGTGTTGCAGATCACTGCCCTCTTTTCCATTATCCCACACTTTGGGAAGGAGTCAAGAGCCGGCCAGACCAAAGAGCATATGTGCAGCGTATGAGCTGGCTGCTGTCCTAACATACATCATATGTGTGGGACCATGAAGGAAAGGGGCACCATGTCAGCCTGGAGAAGCAATATGACAGAGAGAGGAAGGCAACTGAGCTGATGCACTGGGGAAGGTCTTTGTACCGCTGGTGTTCTCACTGGTCAGTGATGGGCCAGTACTATGGAGGTATTTGTCATATTTGGGCAGTAAAAGTTGCTGTAGAGAAGTCTGGAGGCTGGAGCTGAAGGAAGCACAAAGCAGCAAAGGAGCTTGTGGTCCTGTGGGTTCACCTCATTGGGGAGAATTTAGCTTTTGTCTCTTTTGGCACAGAAGAAATTTTCTTAGTTACAGGGTGGTTGTGCCACGTGAATTATTTTTCTGTAGCAATGGCGAAAGTATTTTGGGCCCAGCAGCAAACTGCTGCTGCCCATTCCAACTCAGAGGGTTCTTTGCAATCCCAAGGCATCCCAAAGTGGTCTTCTACACTGAGGGGAGAGCTAAGGCTTCATGGCTCACACACTGTAATGCTGTGCTTGAAACCTTTACCAAAGGGACTTGTTTATTTGGGCTAATGGTTTTTTAAGATTGTCCACTGGACTTGAGGGGGATCCAAGCTTACCACCCTCAAGTCCCCAAAAGGTGCCAACAGCTCTTATCCACTGCCAGCATGGTCCATGCGCGGATGCTTGGCAGAAATTTCAAGAGGAACTGCTGTTCCTACTCTCTGTTACCCAGGAAGGAAAATGGGACATCTGAAAAGTCTCTTGGAGAGGGTCCCAGGCCAGCTATCTACTGCAGGGAGTGGTACTGTGCATGGAAGGAAGGAGGTGACTCTGCTTTATGCTGTGTCTTTGCAAAGCATCTCCTCCCCTATTTGCTTTTGATGATGAGAGCCCATCTCAGACTGGCTGGCGCACTGGGTTATCTGTCTTGGATTTAGTGCATCCTACCCTTCTGAAAAGTAGGGAGTGTTTTTCTCCTGTCATCCCTGAACAGAGGATGCTCACTGCCTGTCTGTCTGCTGCCTGCAGCAGGCATCAGAGATTAGCAGCCATTCAAGACAGGCCACTGCTGTGAGCAAAAAGGGTTTGCAAGGAAAAAAAAAAAGGAGAGGCAGGGAGAAATGAGACGTGCACACACCAAGTAACTAGACCCAAACTATCCTGGCAGTCCCATCCCTAGAAACCAAGGCTTTGAAATGAGAAATGTTTTTCATATCTTAAATCTCAAGTACAAACAATAAAAACCAGCCCAGACTGTGTTCTTTGAAGAGAAAGTACGAGTGACCTGAACAGTGGTTATCAGCAGCGTCATTAAGATAAACCCTTAACATGATTTAAAGCATCCGAAACTGAAGGCAGCACTTTCAGATACTAACAAAATGGTCTGACATTGGGGATGAAAATCAATAGTAATCTGATGTCACTAAAAATACTCAAAAGTGTCCCATGGCTGATGGAGGTGAGATTAGTGTAAATATTTGTATTCTAATCAGTGGCACGCGAGGGCTGGAGGCGGCCTTTCTGTCTATTTAATTAATGGAGTGGCTTTTTAAAAGGATCCTAATCATATGTGATTGTATCTGCTTATCAACATTTTTGCTAATTAGATGATATGGAGGCAGTCACTCTGCTAATTCCCTCATCCAAACAGCATATCCTGCACAGATAAAGTACAGTCTCTTTTTAATAAGAAACAATCATGAGACAGACTAACCTTAATGGTGCTTATTATCCGAGGATCTTTGGGATTTTCTTTTCTACCCACCCCCTCCTTCCTTTTCCTTCACTCACTGTTTCAGTATGCCAGATGGATGTGGATGCAGCAGTCCCTGTCCCCCCCAGTTCCCTGCTCTTCCCTCCCAGCCAAGTCTTGGGTCTGCGAGGGCAGGGATTGTCAGTCAGGTCAGGATGGGGAGCAAAACAAATGACACCAAGCAGCAAAATGTCCCAAGCTTTTGGTCACCCACACCACAGGTGACCCCAACTGTGCAGTCTCAAACCCTGACCTTACTCTTGGCACTCCAATGAGCCCTAGTCCAGAAAGGATTGAGTGCCTCCAAGTTGTGAAAATATTTTTCTATTATTATTTTTTATTATTATTTATTACATTAGGAAAAATTTCTTCATGGAAAGGACTGTAAATAACTGCAACAGGCTGATGTCTATGGCAGTGGCTGAGTCACTATCCCTCAAGGTATTTAAAAGCCATGTAGTTGTGGCACTGAAAAACATGGGTTAGTGGTGGTCTTGGCAGCACTGGATTAACAGTTGTAGTCAGTGATTTTAAAGATCTTTTCCAACCTAAACAATTATTATTATTGTTGTTGTTATTACTATGTTTTCTTCTGTTTTAAAAGGGTCTGAGGGCAGAGGGGTTCTACATGAGTGGTTTCTCACCAGCCCCGTTGACTCTGTGAAAAGGCCGCAGTCCTTTTATCTAAGCCAAACAAGTCAGAGACATTTGTTCCAAGTTCTTTGACTATCCAAACAAACACAAGTCGTGCTTCGCTCCACCAGTCAAACTGTCATCAGATGCCCCCCTGTGGGGCAGCCCTGTTGGAGGGGACACTGTGCTCACCCTCGGAGCCGTGTTCCTGGGGAGCACGGCCAGGGATGGGCGCATTGGGCCGACCTCCTGCTGGGGTGTAAGAGAGGGACCTGTTTGACTTCAGAGCAAGATCAAAAAATAAATAGCAAACTTGCCCTGAAGAATGACTCCTCACCTCTCAAAATACAAAAGCAATGGCTAGGTAAGGAGAACTTGTCATGAATGTGTGTAGCTGCCATCCCAAGAGAGTCTGGATGGAGCAGAGGAGAGAGGGGTAGGTGCCTGGTGCTAAGTTTTGGGAGGTCAGGAGTTTTTTTCTTCTGCTTTTGCAGCTGTGAATGTTGAGCAGAAAAAGTTTAAATGATATGGATTCCCCACTCCATAAGCAGGATGGAGAGTCAGCATATCCTGTGCATTGATCCCATGTGTCAGGCTCAGCACAAAGGTTGGCTGTAGGGTGGGAGTTGGGACGGCTCTGTGGAGTGCTGGCTGGGAGGGATGCCCAGATGGTGGGACACAGAGCTGAAAGAAGATCCAGGGAGCTGGGTCTTTATCCAGCTTTTCTGATGCTCAGGTTGGGGTTTGAGACTAAACCCAAGGTTCAGGCAAGAAAAGAAATAGCTCTTCTGAGTGATGGTGGGGAAGCACAAGAACCTCACAAGACCTCTTTTTTGAGGTATGAAGTCAAAGAGGAGGCCTGATCTTACTTAATGGAGTAAGTAGTGGGCCTGACATGTTTTTTGTGTTAGATCATTCCCCATGCCTGGGGCAAGACCTTGCTCCAGTCTTGGAAATTCCAAATGCTGCTGTAACTTTTGTCCATGGACTCTGACCCCTGCAGAATTCAGAGCACTTTGGTTTCATTGACAGGGTCATCTCCACATGTCATCTGCAGTATCCTCATCCAGACATGGCTATGGTGAAGTTGTACTCAGCGACACAGTTGGCCAGTCCTTTCACCATTCCTCCTCTTTGGCATGGTCCCTGGCGCTCCATCCTCTCCATGCTACACCCAGGAATTAATTCAGTATTGACCGCTTTCCCAGGGCGGTTTCCCATTGCTAGTTCCATGACTGAGGACTACATCTTGAAAAGAGGAGGGACTTCTGGGCCAAGGATTGCAATGCAAGCCGTTGAGTCCTGGGGCTTAATGAGGCACTGCTTATCAGCAGAGTGTGCTTATCTGGAGCCTGCCGACGGTGTACCTGCTCCAGCCCCATCGTGAGCGAACATGTTTTACCACCCAGTTGCAAGGAGCCGGGAGCATGGTCAGATGGCACAGTTCAGCTGATGTGTGGTAACTCGTGAAGCCGCAGCAACTTTATCACTTCACAACATCCATACATAGCCACGGCCTTGAATCTTCTCAGGGGAAGAAAGGATGATGAGTTACTGTTCTGGGATTTTCTCTCTGTCTCCAGTCAGTGGGAAGTGGTATGTGGAGCATTCATTTAATAAACCAGAGGGGAAAAGCTGTAGATCAGCTTCTCATTATTTCAGTGCTGGCTCACGCCATCACTTGGGCTTGTGCCTGACAGTTCAGTGTGTTATTTGAGGCCACTCAAGCATTCTGCAGAAATGATGCCACCCTCTTCTGAAAGTGTGGGGTTCGTCCAAAGGGGGAGGGCCTGATTCCAATAGTAGCTTTACTAGTGCTAGTTTCATCTCAGTTTTAGGCCTGTTTGTGAAGAAGGTATTTGCTTTGGAGACTAGTCCCTGTTGAGAGCCAGCACTCCTGCAGGAAACCTTCTGGAGATAGTTTTGCTGATGTGGACTTCTGAAGTAAAGGAACTGTGGGTGGATAAAAATGCACCAGTGGTTCTGGTTTGCAGTGGAAGGGGGGAGTCCAACATGTTGCATGACTTAGGTGAGGGTCCTGGTGATGTGCACATAGACCTGAAGCCCCTTGATTAAAAGAAGCAGTCTCTTCCTCTACAAGGCAGGAACGGTGGTAAGGGACCATGTAAGTGTTTGTCCCCCAGTATTTGCTAGTGTGTTATACCTACATTCAAGAAGGGGGGCCTGAATGACCCATGTAGCATGTGGGGGACTGAGCAATTACAGAGTACTTTACTGGGAGTAAAGAAGGGAGAAGAGCCCCTGCTAAAGCTGTCAGGAAGCCTATTCTGCTCCTACCTATGGGCACCTTGTATATGGGGCTGCCAGGAACAGTGAAATTTCCACACTGCCTCAGCAAAGGTTTAGTCCAAGTTTATTGCTGAGATTAAAAGACTGGAGAATATAAATTGTAAATGTGATGACTTAAGAGCTCATAAATTCAGTATACAGCCCCATTCCGGAGAGGTTACATGCAGTGCAGCCACACTGCCTTGGGCTCATGAGTTGTCCTTGCTCCTGTTGCTCCAACCCCTGCTCTCCAGAGAGCCCTTCTGCCCTGCCTGACTCCCAGTGCATCTGGCTGGAGATGCCATCCTGCCTGTGCACACTGTGAGTTTGCTGCTTATGTACAGGCATGGACTCCCTGCCACTGCTTCAGCCCAGAAACCTGTGCTAGTGCTGGACCAGCTTATGCCACTTGTGTCCCCCACCTTGGAGCTGGGTGACCCCTGTAAGCAGAGGACTGAGGAGGGCTTTTTGGAGGAGCAGCTAATGTCTCGAGTTGACTCTGGTGGGAGTTGTGATTAGTTTCCTACAGCTGGGTCATGGTTGTCACTGAGTTTGTCCAGGACAAAGTTTCTGAAATAAATTACCTAGCTGTTGTAAGCACCTTTGTCATTATGTGCTTTTTCCTCTTTTCCTAGAAAGATGGAAAGCTGGAAACCAGCCTGCTCCTAGGATTGGTCCAGCCCATGCCAAGGACACAGCTTTTAGTCTGGGAGCCCTAGCTGAAGCCGATGTATGGATGTAGCACCCAGTGCTAACCTGCTGGCAGCAAAGCTTGTGACATGGTCTGAGCAAGGAGAGTTGGAGGCAAATCCTAGGAGGACACCAGAAGATGCCATGGGATGACTTTCTCCCCAGTCAACTACACCAAGCCCCCAGTACGCAGTAAGTGTGGAGGGAGTGAGCTTGGCAGTTGGTTGGTGCAGACCTTGTGGATTCCCATCCTTGTGCAAGTGTTCAAGGGTTGGTGCTTGGGGCAGGCTGTGCTTTTGGATGGCTCAGGTTAAGCCCCAGACTGCAATGGCACGTGTGGGTCAGTGCCAAGCCTTCTTTTGGGCACCAGGGCTCATTTTTAGGGTCCAGCATGGGGGCCAATGGCAGTGTTTGCAATAATGCACACCAGACTCTCAGTAAAGCCAGGTCCTCAAGTTCCTTTCATGTTTCTCTGAAGAAAGTGGTTTGGGCCTCCCAGATGGCATTGCTGGAGGTTTCCCATTTCCCAAGGTCCAGGCCTGGAGCTGACAGTTTCAGCAGTGTTCTGTCTCAGGGATGGCTGTGTGGCTCCAGCTCCTGAGGGCAGCTGTAGGTGCTGAGGGTGGTGTTGTGTACACCTGGTGTTTGCTCATTTTTCAGACCTTCTTTTACCTAATAAGCAACAGGAAAAGGGGAGGTTATATTTTTAAAACAATTTTTAATCACTGTAAAATCCACTTTTCTGCTGTTTTGTTTTTTGATCTGACTTGCAGTAGATGCGGCATTGATGCCACAAGAGCACGTGCGAACGTAGGGCTGTGAGTGCAGGTTTACTGCCTGGGAGCATGGCTGGGCAGATGAAGCTCAGGGTGCATGCCCAGAGGCAGTGGTCCTGCCAGAGCAGACTCAGAAACACACTGCATACATAGGCCAAACCATTCTGCATTTTCCTATCCTGGCTGGAGTCTATTCGGCAGTGTTTTGGTCTGACAAGACCGTCTTCCCTTGCTTCCCTCCACCCAGATCCTTGAAAACTTTGGAAATTCACCTGAAATATTTGCCATTCCCCCATTTATGTGACCCACCAGAACTGCCCTTTCCCGGGACTCGGTTCTGAATGTGGAGCAGAGATAACGTTTAACAGGCAAGAGCAGATGAGAAGGAGATAAAGGAATAAGGGGAGGGAGGGAAAGGAGGGAGGGAAGGAGGAATGCAGAGGTATGTGGCTGCATGTTGTACTGTGTTTATGCATAAACAGGCACGCTTATCGATATCCAGATGTAAGCATGTGTGCAGGGTAATATCTCCTGAAACAATAGGTGCTGTTCGACTCAGGGAGCGCTGCCGGAGCCTCCCTGTCAGATGCTGCCTCGTTATCAGGTTGCAGCAGGCGTTCCCATCTAATCGGGGATCTGAGCCCCGCGAGCCGCACCCCGGGGTTTTGGAGCCTCTCCTCCAGCCTTCTGCCCACTCTGCTCTCTGAGGAGGGAGGGCAAGAGGGGACAAAAGGGGCCAAGCGTTGCCGGAGGTGATACCCGGTGTGTCTGCCCGTCCACCCTCACACTTTGACGGGGATGTGGGAGCTGGCGTTGCCACCACGTTTAGGCGGAGATGGCAGCGGTGTGACACTGAGGACACGGCCAGCCCTTGCAAGGAGGGGAGAGCCTGGCCAGAGCTGCAGCAAAGTGCCCGCTTTGTTCAACGTGGGACAGAGAATGTCAGAGGGACCAAACTGGCCCATCCTCTGTGCAAGGCAGGACAGGAGCTGGCCCTGGGGCCAGGGGTCTTTTCTCTTTTATTTTCTACTGTGTTTTTAAGGAAGGCTAGAAGAGCAAAGAAGGCTTATAAAACCTTCTCCCCCCGCAGCTCCCTAGCACCAAAACGCAATGACCACTAATCTTACGTGGCTCATAACTGCAAATAGCTCTGGAACTAATTAATTTGACAGTGCGGCTGCTGCTTGCCTTTTTCACCAAAATCAATTAAGAAAACGCACATTTCCCCTTCTCCCCCCTCCCCTCCCCGCGCCGCTTCACAGTGAGGCAGAGAGGACAAGGGGCATCGAGGACTGGGCGCTGCTTTCCCAGGGCTCCTGGGGGGTCAGGGTGGAGAGTGGAGCGCGGGAGCACAGTGAAAGGGGATTAACAAGGTGGAGGGAGAGACGCCGCTCGTTCTCCACAACAGGAGCGGGAATGCTCCCTGGGGACAGGTGGCGGTGGGAAAGCTTGATTGCCACATGCAGCCACGCTGTGCCGCGTTCCTCCCTCCCTCCGTCCCAGCTCCCTGAAGACCCCCGTGAATTGTCGTTCCTTGCCAGTGAAAGGGGGGAATTGGCCATCGGGCTCTCAGAGCATTTTTTATTTGCATGGCTAATGAGCCGCTCCAGAAGGGGCTGCAAGGGAGAGGCAGGTGGGAATTTCGGCACTGTTTGCTTGCCAAGTGAGGGCAGAGGTGTGTGTTGAAAAGGCTTCAGCTAGAAATTTAGGGAGACTAATTTTGCAGGAGGCAGCGGTAGGAATCTGAGTGGGGTCTCATGCAATTTTTAAGGCTCCTGACCCTGGAGCTCTGTGCCCAGGTAGGTAAAGTGGAGAGAGTGCTGAAGGGGCTGTGGCTCCCTATGCCCTGGGTTGGGTGTGTGTGGGGAGAGTCTGAGCTGGGGCAATGTATTAGCATCACACTGCTTCCCAAAAAATGCAGCAAGAACAGGACAGCCCTCCATGCTTGTTCTTCTGGTTCCACTTCCAGATGGAAAAGAGAACCAGGTCTGAGGGAAATGGGTTGAGTGATGGCAGGGCTCTGTGATCATGCAGCTTCCCCAAACACTCTTTTCAAGGAATGGGAGACAACTGTTCTTAGGACATGGTGTTGAGACACCTGGCCAAGCTGGGTAAAACCTCCTGAGCATTATTTCTGTAAATGTCTCCATTTGGTCCATATCACATCCTCCCATCTCTACTGAAATGCCCTTCTATTAATAAATAACTCCATTCTCCATTACTCCATCTCCACAGCTCACGTTGAAGTAACTGGGAATTTGGGTTTGGTTTTTATAGACATTAGAAATAGATTTTATCTTTATTAAGGGCTCTGTCTCCACCACACCAACCTTTGCTCCATTGCACAGAGCACAGCAGTGGCTGGAGCAGAGGAAGCAGGTCAATGGGCTGTGCTCAGGACCCAGAGAGGAAGGAGAACCTCTCTGTGGTTTTGGCCAGGGCAGAAGGGGTTTAAAAGGGCCAAGTTCCTCCCTGTGCATTGGTGACCTGTGAGTACATCTCTATAGCATGGTATAAGGCTCTTCAGAAAACAAGAGAAAAAATTTGAATGAAGAATATTTAAGAAATTGTGGATCTGAAAGATTTAGTTCTCAAGGCTTTGTTTGTTTTTTCTTTGCGGTGTCTTG